CAACTACAGTACCTACCAAGCGCTGGGCACATTCTACGCGAGGTCCTACTACAGTACCTACCACGCGCTGGGCACATTCTACGCGAGGTCCTACTACAGTACCTACCACGCGCTGGGCACATTCTACCCTTATTGCCTCACCGTTAAGACCGATAATAATGATTGAGGAAGATAAAGATATAAAGATAAAGAAGGGGAAGAAAAGGAAAGAAAAAATAAGAGATATATAGATGAAGAAGAGAAGAAAGGAGGCAGGAAAAGGAAGGGCAAAATATGAAGGAGTAAAAAAGAAGGAAGAAGAGATGAGGAACGAGAAAGTATGGAAACTATAGATGAAAGAGGAAGAAAAAGAAGAGGAAAAAGAACCACACATCATACTCGACAGTTTGTAGACTCCATTATCCACGAGTGACTTCTAAAATACGCAGAGACGAAGGAGGGAGGTAAGGAACAAGAGAGAAAGGGAGGGAGAGAGAAAGAGGAAAGAACAAGGGGTGGAGGGAACAAGGGGTGGAGGAAACGAGGGAATAAGAGGCTTACACGCTGGACGTGTCTCAGATAAAAATTATCTCCGTCAGTGATTCCGATGGGCATGGAAACGATGTAAGAACGAGGAGTGGGGGAGAAGAAAGATGAGTGGGGAGAAGAAAGATGAGTGGGGAGAAGAAAGATGAGTGGGGAGAAGAAAGATGAGTGGGGAGAAGAAAGATGAGTGGGGAGAAGAAAGAAGAGTGGGGGAGAAGAGGAGGGGAGAGAGAGGTGGGAGAAGAAAGAAATGGGGGGAGAAAGACGAGTGGGGAGAAGAAAGAGGAGGATTAAAAGGAAGATGGGAATGAGAGAATGAAGAGGACCCTAAATAGAAGGAAAAGAATAGGAGGGAGAAAAGGTTACCATTAAGTCGCATTCCAGACGACTGCCAGCTATTGGTGAGAGAGAGAGAGAGAGAGAGAGAGAGAGAGAGAGAGAGAAACCCGACAGAAAACGAAAACGGACGAAAGAAAATAACGCAAACCGGAAGGAAAAAAGAAAATGGTTTACGAGGGGAAACTCAGCTGTATGAACCCCAAACTCCAGCTCGGTAAGTTCCCCCTCCTTCCCCGATGGCGCCAACAATCACCGGAGAGGCATAAGACGTCACCATTAAGAAGAGAAATTCTTTTGTCCTTCATCATCTTGGCTGGTGAGGAGAGAGAGGAAGGTCAGGAGAGGTCGAAAAGAGGAGGAGGAGGAGGAGGAGGAGGAGGAGGAAGAGGAGGAGGAGGAGGAGGGAGGAGGAGGAGGAGGAGGAGGAGGAGATGGGAGGGAGGGACTGTACGAAGGAAGGAAATAAAGGAAGAAAGAGACGAAGGGGAGAGGAAGGCAGAAAGAATGGAATGTAGGGTGAAGGGATAGAGCGATGGGTCAGGGTGGGAGAGTAGGATTACAGTGAGTGAAGCATGGCGATGAATACATAGGATAAGAGTGAGAGAGTATGGTGAGAGTGAGAGAGAGTATGGTGAGAGTGAGAGTATGGTGAGAGTGAGAGAGAGAGTATGGTGAGAGTGAGAGAGTATGGTGAGAGTATGGTGAGAGTGAGAGAGAGTATGGTGAGAGTGAGAGTATGGTGAGAGTGAGAGATGGTGAGAGAGAGAGTGGTGAGAGAGTATGGTGAGAGGAGAGAGTGAGAGTATGGTGAGAGTGAGAGAGTATGGTGAGAGTATGGTGAGAGTGAGAGAGAGTATGGTGAGAGTGAGAGAGAGAGTATGGTGAGAGTGAGAGAGAGTATGGTGAGAGAGAGTGAGAGTAAAATGAGAGCTATAAGGCTGAATCACAATACAAGATAAACAAACTTCCACCAGTGACTTAAAACTACAAGAACTTAACATGTAAACACAGTGGTAGAGAACCCCCCCCCCCCCTTCCCTAGCAGCTGACTGGCCTGCAATACTATGGCTGCTATAGAGTACTAGAGTTGCGTCACTCACCCGCCATCTGTTACAATATGTCACTGAACCTCCCGTAACTCAATCCGTCACTCAGCAGTTGTTACTTATGAAGAATTTAACACTATCCTGCTGTAAAATAGTAATATCAGTACATCACCTAAATAATAATAATAATAATAATAATAATAATAATAATACGCTAATGCAGTTATAAGAACATCATTTTAGTATCATTCTTCTGTAATTTCAGTAACGTAATAAAATAAAGCTTCATTCTCTGCTCATCGCCACAACAACACACTAAAAGTATAACATCTGAAAAAAGTTTAAGATGAGAAACTAAATTAAATTTTAAGTGTCAAACGTTCACATACTGTACTTGCAATATACAGTATGTCGGAAGCCTTGACCCAATTTTCATTTCTTACTGATGTTTCCTCAATGTCTTCCAGTATTACTTTATAAACTGATAGCAGATCTTGTTTATTACCATTTTCGACATTTTTCATTAAGTCTTCGTGGTGTTTTTCCTAATAACTAACACACCCACTTGTGGTTCTAATTCCTCACCAGTCACCCGGCATCCTCCCACGTGGGAGAAAACGTGAATAGGACACCTCTCATGTGAGGATTATTTCTATTTTAAGCATTTCTCTCTCTTTCCTCCCCGTCTCTTCTATTCTTGCTCTACCTTTCCTACAAGCTGCATCAACTGTCCCTTAGTTTGCGTAAGTAGTATCATTTAGTAGTTAAGTTGCATGTTCTTTCTAAAGTTCTAATATACCTCAAATAAATTTATAACAAGAAAAGATAAATCCTGCAGAGGGTCGGACGTGGCCTTATAAAACAAAGAAGTCTGTCTGTCAGCTGCCGTGTTGCTGTTACTGGACGGTGTCGCTGTCACGTTCTGTTACCTAGTACTGGGCTTATATACGGGCTCCTGAATATACCTGAATATGTTCCAGTATTTCTCAAAGCTGGGCTTAAAGGAGTTCACGCATGGTGATGTCTAAGATTTCACAACCTTTACATTAAGCAAGATAGCTAAGACTGTTTTTATGACTTCTTTAACTTGATGGAGTGACCTCTGGTGGGGCGACTATCAGCTAAGTCCAGATATGTAGATTCGACTGTAGTATAAACAACAAGGCAGTTGTAAACTTTCTGGTTTCTTGGTAGGCGAGGTGTCTGAATATGCCGGCACCAGTTGGGAAGTCCTCTTTCGGACGTTCGCAAGTGTATGGCAGTCTTTAGCATACCTCGGAGATCCAAGCTGTGGTGTCCGTTAGGTAAATTAGGCAGGTAAGTATCAATGAGTATAAATTCATCTCTCTCTGTGAGTTTGTTCGGCGAGCGAGGCGTACAGAGGCAACTATGTCTTTGATACACGTTGGTGTGTCTATCAGTACAAGTAGATTTACCTACACATACACAGGCAACACCTAATTACACACATGTACACGTTTTCACACATGCACACGTATGAGTGCATGAAGCTTCTTATCCCTCACAACACACCACAGCTTACATAACTTAATCCCAGCCAAGAAAGTTGCTCCTCGTAGTTCCTGGAGCTTAAAGCCCCAACACAGGTACAGTCTTTTGTTAATAAACTCAGGTTATCAAAGGTTCATAAGTTTCTTTTATTTCCAAACTGGTATTAATATTACAATAAAGTCGCAACGAAAACTCGACGCCATATAAAATCAGCTTTGTGTCGTGGCTTACATGAGCAGCTAAACCCCTCCTGATATCTTGTGTGGAGAGAAAAAAATAACGTACAAATCTTCAAGACTCAAGGTAGTGGAACCTAGTCCAGGCGGCTGTTTCTGTCCTCTGTACGATACGCGAGAACCTTTCTTGTTTAACTTCTGGGTATTGATGTCACTCAGACAACAGAAAAAAACCGCGTTATCAGTCTGTCTTCTGAAATATTTTGTATAAACTTTACCTTGATGGTCTCATTTTCTTAATTTTGTGTCGCACTACAAATAATATTAGAACAGGTCTGGTTTATCAGTCTACGTTAAAATTCTAGATACATTGTACCGTAAAACATCTAATTTATAACGCATTATTTACAACAAATATATTTAATTCTTATTCTTTCTATAGTTCATTTATCCTTTATTAAAAACAACACATATATGTGAAATATAACTGTAATAAGTTTGTTCTTCACAGCGTATTGCGTCATACATGTACTGAAACATTAACATCTTCTGGAGTCAACAAAACTTTAGCACTGCAAGAAGCCGGAGTAGTGAGGCGTGGTGAGCTAACCCTTGCCGACGTCTCCATCTTATGTCCTTTCATTTCAAACAAATCTTATAACAACAGGATATTTATTTGACAAAGTAACAAGAATCATGTCAAAGTTTTCAAATATTTTCTATGGACCAATTTTAGTGCTCAAAATCAATATGTGTTTGTAACTAAATTTTAACATCCTTATTTCTTCTCACCTTGTCATTTTGAATCATGTAAGAATGACCACATTGTAAATCAGTCGCTTTATTCATCGTTTCTCTATATCTTCAATACAACTTTTCCTGTCTTAACTAAAACCAACCAGATCAAGAGAAATAAGTATTACTAATGCTTAATGTATTCTCCCAGTTTATGCCTATGTGTATGCTTGCGCTATATGGATCTCTAGTAAATATATTAATATCAAATCAGTTTAATATATCTCAATTGGTTCTTGAATATATTATACTGAAGTAACACAGACGAGACGAGACCAACTACATGAACGGCCAGTAAACTGTTATGTGATGAAATGATACAAAAAAACATTCCCCAAAGTTGATCAAGTCTGGGTGACGTCTGAACATCTGGCGGATTATTCCTTGAGTTCAGATGCTTGGTCACATGTGTAGAATGGTAAATAAGACAAGATACAGTCAACTGTCTATGCAATACAATATCTCAGTTAAAATTTTAGCTACCTTAAAATGTTATCCTGAAAACTAAAACCATAAAGTTAATCACCGATATTACAAAAACTATTCAATTATCTTACCCAATGAAAGAAAACAACTAAATCTAAGTAATATATTCTAATAAACTTACCGGAAAACTCGGTAACGGTGTCGGCGCGTAGGATGTAACGAGGGAATTGTTCCTGGACCAAACTTATCAGCTCAACCTCTGCTACATTGTCACCGGAACACACATCTGAAAGTAACGTTGAGATTAGTTGACTGTGTAAATGACAACACGGGAAACTGATGAAAACGGAATACTCATCACCTGAAGAATCTCCACCCAAGCTTATTTCACCTAAGATTAACTACCCAGAAGCTAACCTCATCCCACCATAGAGCGTTAGGGTGGTTAATCTTAAGGTGAAATACCCTGGGGTGGAGTTTTTTCAGTGGATCCAAAGTTACAATACTGCAGCGGAACATCACCACCACTTGCAACATGATCGAATAACTAATTCTAGAGCTTAATAAGACTCTGACCTTCAGAGCAATTATAACAAATGTGAAAATATAGATTACATTTCTTTTAACATATCAATTTATAAAAAGTAATTCTGGCTTATAAACTGGTGGGACTTATACGAAGATTCTACACATATCTAAGAGGTCAGCTTCTAGTAGTGTTGCCTGGCGAGTACAATGTAGTTTTGCTTGGTCTCAGAGAATCGAGATACACCAAAGATTGCAAATGGATTGAGAACGTCTACACAAGGGCCACTGAACTAGTGCCCTACCAAGTATTTTTTATTACAAATTTTACTTATCTGAATTATTATTATTATTATTTTTATTATCACATTTTCTCCCCCTAGGCCCCGATGTGGGTTAGTGACCTGTGCCCGGGTGAGCTAATCCCCGAACAAAAAAAAAAATTAAAAATATATAACCAAGTGAGGCAAAATTACCTAACAAAATCCATTATATTTAAGGGGTAACCAGTCAGACTTTTCATTAAACAAAGAATAAACAACAAGAACGATTTGGTTGAGCCAATATTCTTTAAAACCCTTCCATTTTATTCATATTTTCATCTTTAAATCTTCACCACTATTTTTCTTTTCCTATTTTAACTAAATACATCATCCCAACTGACCCATTTGAAGTTAAAGCCTAAAGACAAATACATTAACAATACAGGTTAAAATAAAATGTCAGAGCCAACTTCTTTGCAGTAAGGGTTGAACCAGGTAATAATAATAATAATAATAATAATAATAATAATAATAATAATAAACGACTTATTGAAAGAGTATGGCAGCAGGAAGACTTAAAAAATATACAGTTACATAATTGGGGAATGGGTCACTTGATTGATAAATAATATACAAGTGACATAAAATCAAGACTTTCCCAACACTCATGGGCCCACACATGCTTGATGGGTTGTAGACAAACAGCTGGTGAATAGGATAAGTGAAATAATGTTAGTTGTCGACTTTTTCTTGGTGGAAATATACTGTATAAACGAGTCATTATATTGTTGTCTGCGATCAAATGTAATTCAGTTTTCTTTGTCTTATATTTCACGAGTATTGCAGAAAACGGACTCGAAACGTCTCAATATATCGGTAACTATTCGATTCCAGTAGTTCCTGTTATTGAACCACCTAGCGAACAATATCTATAGAAGAAAACTTACTTCTTACCTCAATACTTAAGTAAATGGGTAAGTAGCACTTTCCCTATGGAAACTTTGTTACTAATTTTTTCCAGTATAAATAAAGACACTACTGTCACCCATCCGCTTCACGAATGAGCAATATTTTTTCCTTCTGTCCTTTCAATACAAACCTACCAAACGAAACCTAATAACAAAATGACAATAAAGCTTATAAAATTACGAAGAAATCCATGATGCAGTTATAATTCCTTTGATGTGAATACTATATGAACAATGTTGCCAGGTCTCGCATGATACGAGACCTGGTAACCTACATAAAACATGGATACAGTATTACATATTAGTTCTTAGTGCTTGTAATATGTTAATGAGTTTTGCGAGAAAAAAAATGAGAGGTCTAAGGCTGAGATATGGTTTGAATACGTAACTAAGGGAAGATGTGAGTCGAAGTGTCTGAAACAAGACTGGATCAAACTATCATGACAACGGGCAGACGAGCCACACCAAATCTACTCTAACTTACCTGACCCAACTTAACTTATCCTAACCTGTCTAACCTAACCCAAGGACCTTGTAATAGTGTTTGGGTTAAGTTTGGTTGGCTTAAATAGGTTTGGTGGGTTGTGTTATGTCATCATAGATGGTTTAATTTTTACTCGTTTTAAAAATATAAATACCAGCTATAATCGGACTAAGGTAACACACACAACCTGTCTATACAAAATATATTTCTAATTAGTAGTTTAAACTAAAATGTCCTTTAATTTACTTTACCTTGTATGAAACTTGAGACCAGTTGGCGTCATTTTTAATACTCGTAACTTTCGCAAGTAAAAAATAATGTTCTGGGGCCACAATTGACATCCCTGCTTTAGCACACTACAGGAGCATTATTTTTTATAAGCTTTCATCACTGTCAATTGATGTGGTTATCCATCTTGCAATATGAGCAAAAATTCCTTTTACATTTCTTGCAAGCAATATTTGAGTGGAAAATCGTCATGAGTTGAAACTTCTGAACGACTATTGAGGTAATTTTCTCTTACTGTGCTGATTGAACACCAGCTGCAGTGAGTCTCCTCTGTTGTAGAGAACGCACCTTTGTGACTACTGACTAGTTTGCGCTGTAGAGCTTTGCTGTCACCTTCTAACTTCCCCATCACTTGCTGCACATGCCTGGAGCTTGGTAACTTCCAAACATTAACTTCTAACTGATGTTCGGTCTCTCAAAACTTGGCAGTGAATTCTGTGGCAAGTTCAGGTCCTCTCTCAGCTGGACGGCATCTTTCTCCTCTAAATATCTGACATTTCCCTCCTCTTTCCATGCACTGGTTTCATTTCTTCCATGACATCTATTTTGGTAGTGGCGGAAGTGGGGGAGTTGTCGGTGTCAGACCCGAGTCTAGTCAGCTCTAAGTCACAGTGATGGTTGCGTCCTTGGTGTTGTTGCCTTCTTGGTGTTTGTATTCAGACTACTTACATCGTGAATTTGCTATTTCTGGGTATTATTGTATAATTTCTCGACCCTCGATGTCTAGCTGTTTGGTTCGCTGCATAAATTCAGTTAATTCTTCGTCACTAATCATAACTTTCACTGGTCTTCATTAACGGAGGTAGTCACTGTTATTTACAAAAAGCACTGAATGAATGCTTATGATTACGATCTTAGTGTGTAACAGCTAAGATCATATGGCGCCGGAGATAATTGATGCTAAAGGGTTAAAATAAAATCAAAAGGACGGAAAAGAAAACACAACCGGAAGATAAACGACCCAAAAGGAAACAACAAGACAAGGCGGCTACAAAACGCAAGCTCACTCACACTCAACACTAATTAAGTAGAAGCGCAAGTATTGTTAACAACCTAAGTTCCACCACTGTCTTGGCTGCATATATTCCACGTTAGGGCGCTTAAGTAATGGCTTTTCTCACCAAAGGCCAAATATGATCATTATAAAGCAGTTATCAGGTTACATCATAGCATTTATTATTTGTCTGAATCAAACTTATATCAAGTAATTTTCCTTTACTGTTATTATGCTTCGTCGTGTTCTCAATCAAATATACTTTTCTAATATTACTTGTATTAAGATAAACCAGATTGAGTGAACATCGTGATAAAGCCAAATAACTTTAAAAAATAAAAAATAAATAAAAAGAATCAACTTGAAATATAGAATACGAAATATTGTCTTCAAACGCTGCCTGTACATTAGAGAGACGTGGAATATAGTTGAAGCAATATACTGTACTTCACCTCATAGATGTGGCACATTATATCGATTTATTTATTTTTTTTCACCGTATCTTTAAATATTTATAGCCTCTATGTGTATTGTTGGATCATATGAAGATTAGACACCCAAACTTATTTCCCCTTAAAATGAACCATCCTAATGTTTGTTTAATTATCAGACAAATAAACTGGCGGGAGGGGGGGGGGGAGGAGCTAATCCCCAGGTGATCTGCATTTATTTAATAAATAAAAGTCTCGGGCTGTAATCACTGCACGGTGGAATTTTTTTATTTTATGCGATATTTCAATTTGAAATCTTTTGTTAGTTCTTTTTTTCTTTATTTAATACGACAATTTCATTCGTTAGTTACTCCTTAATATTCATGGACCACAATAAATACTTCACGTCGTAACTCAGTGCCTTCACGTTCATGATGACTTCTGCTGGAGTCATTCACGTTGACTGGAGTCGATGGTTTTGTTGACTCGAGGATCACCAGGTAATACACACCTGGAGTGATCCTCGAGGTACTGGCGTTGACTCAAAAGTAGGTGACGCAGGAAGCATTAGTTATAATTTAGTCAAACTAAACACCCTTTCCTCGGTGAGTCACGGTCAGAACTCCACAGACCAACAAGAACAGCGTGTAACTGTCAGGATACACTTTGTCTTTACTGGATTATTGTGAATATTATTAACACGCCGTTCTGCTTCACAAGATCACACCTGGATTACCACTTTTCTCTACTGGCGCCTTCACTTGTACACTTAAGCCTCGTAACGAAATAAACGATAATTTACCAGACAAGAGATGAAATACAATGCTGTCCATTTGAAGTTCTGGACTCCACTAACTTCTATCTAACCGAGTACCCGTGAGTCCGTGATGGCTTTACAAGAGACCCTCTGTTGGCGCCAACGTGGCCAGATGCATTCATATGATTTAAACTAATTCCTATAAATGTATTCAGGTTGTTATTAGTATTTCCTGTACTTGATTCTTTTCAAATTGATCTGTTTCATTTAGTATATTTTCTTGGCACATTTATTAATATATATGTTAATAGTCAGACCTCGTAACCATTAAGTTAAGAGTAGTTTGTGATCGACCATTTACGTAATGACCGATACTCAGATGTAACAGTGAGAAGGTTACAGTCAAGTGGCGGCCACGAGGCTCTGAAAAATTAAGGCACGTCACAATTTTTTCGCCAGTACGAGCTGACAATGCTCCAGTAATACTGTACTCTACTTACAAATGTCACAAGTCACGTAGATGAGAAAAACTCCTCATGAAAATTTAATACTGTTCCAACATCAACATTACCTCTG